TTTTTTGATGTGAATGGCATTGTCCACAAAGAGTTCGTTCCGCCAGGACAAACAGTGAACCAACATTTTTACCTGGATGTGTTACGAAGATTACGAGAGAGTGTGCGACGAAAACGGTCCGAAATGTGGAGAAATGGGAACTGGTTGCTTCACCACGACAATGCTCCAGCCCACACAGCTTTGACGGTCCGACAGTTTTTGACAAGCAACAACATGGTGATTGTGCCTCATCCACCTTACTCACCCGACCTGGCTCCGTCGGACTTTTTTTTTGTTTCCATGGATGAAGAGAAGTCTGAAAGGAAATCGATTCCGTGATGTGGATGAAGTCAAAGAAAACACGCTAAAGGCTTTGAACAGTATCCAGCCTCAAGAATTCCAGCACTGTTTTGAGCAGTGGCAAAAGCGTTGGGACAAGTGCATTAATGCACATGGACAATACTTTGAAGGGGACTAATATACAGTTCAATAAAAATGCAAAAATAAAAAATAACAAAACTAAATTCTGGTTATTTTTGGGTCCCCCCTTGTATTATATCAATTGGATTACAGTCCATATCCAATTTACAATATATACAAACATCTCCACCATTACTTAATGATCGTGAGAATTGGGAGGTTAAACAATAATTTTCTTGTAAGTTTTGAGATTTTCACGGCGATGACTATGAAGAAAGTCGTCTTCTGGGATCTGGCGCCGTGTATTCTTGGTTTTAACTGACGTTTCGGAGGAACATATTGCCTCCATCTTCATGGTAGTCGAATTGCATGGGAATACAGATAGCAGTAGCTGTTTTCTTGTTTGATCAGTAAAAGTTTCTGCTCAGTTAAGTAATGTTCAGTTATACAAATTACATGTGGGCTTAAAGTCATGACTAATTAACATACAAATCAGTTCATCAGTTTTATGTTGTAGACCTCTAATATTTTGGTGAACTAAATTAAAAGAGCTTATCTTAGTATCCTTAAGTTTAATCTTTGGTGCTTGACTAAGGTCACGACTACTGCATGAGGTCTTCAGTTCAATACATTTTGAGGCATTACCATAAAAAATCATCACCCATATTTACTGGTCATCTTCTAACTCTCTTGCCCAGCACCAGGGAGATCACTCGTTCATTGAGTTTAACTACCTCCTCTAATAAAGTTCCCTGAACTTCTTCAAACTTACAGCTTTCATCACTTTTCCTTTTTTCATTTTCCACAATTTGATCATTCATTTTAACATTATCCCAGTCTAAAGATATGACTGCCAGCTCTTCATTTAGTTTCGTATCAATGAAAGAAACTGTTTAGCTACATAGTCCTTACCTTCGGTGTTCAGGTGCATGCCATGGCTTGTATGAAATTTTCTATTGTAATTAATCAGTATATAATGCACACGGTCTAACACTTTCAAATGCTTACCCAGCCTTCTATTGTAACTATCAATTTCCTTATTCACACATGACTGATCCACCAAATCACGTCTTTTGGGTAAACTGAGAACTATTACATTCATATTTAAATTATTTAGGACAAATTTACTAACTTGCTTAATACATTTTTGGGTTTCGTTTCTACATACTTCTTTTACACCTCCCCAAATAATTAAAAAATCATCTTTCGTTAGGTTCCTAATTTCACTCACATCAGCCCCTGATTTCACTATTCCTTGAACTACATAATTCTTCTAAGTTATGTTGCAGTTCCCTCGCCATTCCTTTGACATGACTATCACCAACTATTAAAATTCTCTTATTTCTTGCCCTTTTCACTATTATGGTTTTATCACATCTTAAGGTTTTCTGTTCCAGCATTTGAGATCTTCCAGCAGATTCATCAAGATTGAGGTTATAAAATGGTTGAAATCGGTTATTTAATATCAGCAGCTCTTGTTGAGAATTTACAAGGGTCATACTGAAACTCATGAGCAACAATTTTTTTGTAAAGTAACATGCTTTATTATTGACAAACCAAATACACCACCTCAATCTACAGACCTTTCTTTATTTTTCCACATAATCGCCACTTCTTTGTACAGATTTCTCCCAGCGTTCTGGGAGTTTGAAAATGCCCCTTCTGTAAAATTCCGTTCCAGCCATCTGAAGACACTGACGCACTGCTTTCTGAATTGCCTCCCTTGTCTCAAAACGTTGTCCACGCAGCTGATCCTTCACAAATCCGAAAAGATGGTAGTCGGAGGGTGCCAGATCAGGGCTATAGGAGGGGTGTGGAAGAACTTCCCACCCCATCTTTGCAATTGCTTCTAATGTGAGGCGAGCAGCATGGGGGCGAGTGTTGTCATGTAGGATGATGTTGTTTTGTCCCGGACGTTTATCGCGCAATTCACGACTGAGCTTGCGCAGCGTCTGGACATAACGAGCAGCATTGATGGTTTGCCCAGGTTCCAGGAATTCAGCCAGAATAAACCGCTCTGCGTCCCAGAAGACTGTGCCCATCACCTTCGCAGCTGATGGCATTGTCTTTGCCTTCTTTTTTGTTGGAGAATGCAAATGGTGCCATTTCATTTCAGGCTCGAAATGGTGAAACCAGCTTTCGTCACCTGTCACGATACAGAGCAAAAAATCATCGCCTTCGTGTCGATATCTCTGCAGCAGTTCTGAGGTGATGGCTTTTCACTGACCTTTGTGGTCTTCGGTCAATAACCGCGGGACCCAATGAGCACAAACTTTCTTATAGCCCAAACTTTCAATCATCTCCTGTACTGCACTGTACCCTATTCCAAGTTTTCGGGCTATTGTGTCCACAGTCACACGCCTGTCATCTTGAATGATCTCATCCACTCTTTCCTTGTTGCGTTCAGTTGAGGCTGTTTGAGGACAACCGCTCCGAGGCTCATCTTCGATGCTGGTGTTCCCATCTTTAAAATGTTTCACCCATCTTCGAACACTGCTTGCACCCATGCACACACTTCCATAAGCACGCTGAAATCTTGTGAATTTCTGCAGCAGGGGTTCCTCTTTCACAAGAAATTCGATGACAGCACGCTGGCAAAACAACATATGGTTGTCGGTCATTTTGTTAGGAGTGATACTGGTCACGTGATGCAAGCTATCGACATCACAAGACACTCAAGGTTAACACAACAGCTGGTTCCACCTACCACCATACTCTCTTTCGTCTGCTGTTCCCAGGTTGCATGCAAAAAAAAGTTGCTTATGACCTTTGGTATGACCTACGTACTAAAACTGGTCTTCTTCCACCCTTCCTTCCTGGATGTTCTGTTCTATTAAGGCCAAGTGTTTCATTTTATTTTGTATGTTATGGCATAATAATGTGTTACATAAATATTGCGGGACTGTAGTAATTATCATGGGATGTCACAGTTATCAGCTTCATACAAAATTTGATCCAATATCCTTCTGTCAAAGTTAAGTCCATATACAGACGAAATTATTAGCCATCATCAGTGTTTTGATGTAATAGATAATAGGTTTTGACATAATAGGTCAGCTTCTGATCAGATCTTTTGCATTTGTCAGATACTGGAGAAGAAATGGGACTACAGCGATACAGTACATCAGCTATTCATAGGCATCAAGAAAGCCTATGATTCAGTTAGGAGGGAAGGATTGTACAGTATTCTCATAGAGTTTGGGGCACGCTTGAAACTAGTTAGGCTGATTAAAATGTGTTTAAACAAAACTTATAGTAAAGTCTCTATAGGTAAACATTTGTCTAATAATTTTCCTACCCAAAATAGTCTAAAATAAGGAGATGCTTTATCACCACTGCCTTTCAACTTAGCTTCAGAATATGCCATTAGGAAAGTCCAAGAGAACCAGGTGGGACTGAAATTAAATGGGCCTCATCAGCTGTTGATCTGTGCTGACAGTGTGAAGCTACTGGGTGGTAACATAGATGCCATAAAGAAAAACACAGAAACTTTGTTTGAGGAGGTTGGTCAAGAAGTGAATGCAGAGAAAACTAAGTATATGTTGCTATCTTGTCACCTGAATGCAGGACAAAATCATGACGTGAAAATAGCCAACAGGTCCTTTGAAAATATTGCACAGTTCAAATGTTTGTGAATGACAGTAATAAATGGAAATCTGATTCTAGAGGAAATTAGAGGATATTGAATTCGGTTAGCACTTGCTACCATTCAGTCCAGAGCCTTTTGTCTTCTCGTCTGCTGTATAACAGATATATCCAAATATACAAAACTATAATTTTGCCTGCGGTTCTATTTGAGTATGAAACTTGGGCTCTGATATTAAAGGAGGAACATAGGATGAGGGTGTTTGAGAACAGGGTGCTGAGGAGAATATTTGGACTGCAGAGAGATGACGTTAAAGGAAGTTGGAGAAGACTGCATAATGAGGAGCTTCATAACTTGTACTCTTTGTCAAGTATAATTAGAATGATCAGGTCAAGGAAGATGAGATGAGCAGAGTATGTAGCACAAATAGGGGAGAAGAAGAATACATATACAGTATTGGTGGGAAAGCCAGAAGGAAAGAGACCACAAGGAAGACCAAGACTAGGTGGGTGGATAATATTAAAATGGATCTTACGAGATAGGATGGGGTGGTATGGATTGGATTGATCTGGCTATGGATAGGGAACCACTGGAGAGCTCTTGTGAAAGGGGTAATGAACTGTCAGGTTTCATAAAAGTTGGTAAATTCTTGAGTAGCTGCACAACTGGCGGCTTCTCAAGAAGGGCTCAGCTTCATCAAGTTAGTATTGCAAAACAATTTTTTGACATGAAGCTTGTAAATGCATCCCCCCCCCCCTGAATAGTGTTGGTACTTTAGATCACTGAATGTCAGGCTCAAATGTCAGATTGTCGATAAGCTGTCCTCTCTGAGTTTTTCATGATCTTCCTTAGTCCCTCCAAGCAGATGCTGTGGTAATACTTCAGATTAGGCCACAACTACTTTCATCTCTTTTTTTTCTTCATTATTCAGTAATCCTACCATTTGGTGATATTAAATAAACTGAAAGCAGGACATTTTTTAAAACATCACATACATGTATATTTACTTTTACAGATAAAAAACACTTCAAAAATCAAGAGAATGAAGAAAAAGCAACTGCGCCAAATTGAGAAGCGTGATACTACAACATTAATCAAGAGATGTTGAACATAATACACAAATTTAATTTCTAAAAAGGAATTGGTGTTGTACTGAGCAGTGTATTTATGGTATACAAAGTTTAACATAATATTTTATAAATAAAATGAATATGTAACAGCTGTGAAGACTCTTTATTCCAAAGAATGCAAGAACCTAATTATCTTACTTTTCAGTAGACAATTGTATAGCTCCTAATATGTAGCTCCCATACTTGTCTCATGTCTCTTTTCCTCCTGTAAGGGTACTAGTGAGATATATGTATTTACTTGTTCACTTTCTTAGTATTTACATTCAGCCTTATTGCTGCATTCATAAGTATATAATGGTTTCATGGTTGTTGCCATTGCCATATTTTATTGTTTTGTTATTCATACAACATACTTCAGCATTATGTGGCCATCCTTAGGTATGTCTCTTCTTGTAAGCTGTTCCACTGTGTTAACTCCCTGTCAAGGAAGTAGCAGTTAACTTTAATTTAAGAATTTGTTAAAATATGATCATGTGTTAGTGGCTAGACATGGTTTTTGGAATGATAATTTGATTTATGGAACACTTGTAACTATAAATAACTGTAATAGTCTCACTGATACACACACACACTGTACATCACTGCAACTATAGCACGTAACGTCTTATGTTTGTCCGCTAATCATTGCTGGGTGTTGGCTGCTAACAATGCAACTGAAGACCGACCAACTGCTAAATTGCTGCTGACCACAGTGACTTGGTTCCTAGTCCCACAGGACTCATGACCATATTTTACTGTGTGACAGCCCTTGGAGCCTGCTGGACTGCTGCCAGTCCTTGCTGTATAGCCTTGACAAGGATCACATAAAAAATACCATACCAACAATTCCTCTACTTTTGCATGTTTATTTGTTACTACAGAAATGTGTTTACAGTCCCACAGCTTACCAACCACTGCCTCTTCTTGGTCCACTGTTTTGTCCTTCATCCATCATGTATCAATATGTTTATAATTGAAATGGATAATAAGCGTTACTCTTGATGGTTAACACTCAAATGCACTTGTCATGTGTGGGTAACCAATGTAGTTTTTGTTGATGTTTGCTGTGTGTTGGTATTCTTGACAGCAGATGAAACTGCCCTTTGTAGATTGTGATTGATGTCCTTTTTGTGCAGTTGTCTCGTCACTGGTCGTGTTTGTTGGCTGTAATATACATATATGTATAATACTATGTGCTGCAAGGGTGAGTAAAGGTTAACAGGGACATTATTTTTTAACTCAAGGTGCGGGCACAAAAAAAATATTTTATGGGCAATTGGTGGCAATACTGCAACTCACTGCCTAGAAAGTGGCTATGCTCTTCAGTTCTGCACAATATAAGCGCCTCAGTTTAAATTGTTACAGAAGAACGGATGCACCCAAAGTTTTCTTTTCTTAATATTGTATTTAAGCACCCTGTTGCATTAATATATCATTTATTTCACATATATTTCCGTCTTAAATACACCTTATATAGTCACCCTTCTTCCACATTACATGGTTCGGCTATATACGGCCATCATCAGGCGTCGTCTGTCTGGCTAAAATTGTTGCACTGTATGCCAAAATTTCGTATCGCGTGTGAACGCGACATTTCCTGATTATAATAAAGTTACCTTAATTAAAACAAATTAATTAACATCCCAGTATTTTCCTTGTGGTTGTCGTCCTTTCTTCTCCCGCCGTCTCAACTACTGCCATATTATGACAGGATCAGTATTATTATCTTCCAGTGCAGAAGATAAGAACACGAAATTAAAAAAATACAATCATGCATTACGTCGGACGAATATACCCAATTAAGATGATGTGAGCAACTAATCAAACAGAAGTTTTTTGATTTGTCTCATTCTGATCCGTCACACTATCAATTACAAAGTAGATAACTTTCAGTCCAGTATGACATACAGGTTTACAAAACTTCAGTCTTTATTCGCCTTACATGTTTCGATTCAAAAGAATCATCTTCAGACGCGCACCACTACGAGCAGGAAACACTGTCGCATGAGATGTTTTTAACCTTTTTAACATTATGCACTTAGGTTATGACATACGACACCGCACACACGTAAACTACACAACAATAAAAACATACAACCAAGAGACATAATCGACATCTACCATCCGGAAGAAAAAACATGACCTAATGCTGGTTCACGATTTTTAACATAACTACTTTTTTACATACAAAAGATTTTTAATACAATTTTAAATACATAGGGAAGCTATTTTATGGAAAAGTGAACATCACATTGCGTGCAGTGGGAAACCCCAATCGAATACCCAGCAAATACGCTTAAACGAAACATCACACGTAAATCTACACGTAAATGTGGCTGCATAGGGCAATCTGTGATATGGTGAGCACTATTCATAACCTAAGTGCATAATGTTAAAACATCTTATGTGACAGTGTTTCCTGCTCGTAGTGGTGCGCCTCTGAAGATGATATTTATTTTTGAATCGAAACATGTAAGGCGAATAAAGACTGAAGTGTTGTAAACCTGTATGACATACTGGACCTACTGGACTGAAAGTTATCTACTTTGAAACAGAAGTTTCCTCAGTACCTCAGTGTGCACTTGCCAATCTGGAAACCAGCTGCCTGCTTGAAATCGGCTACACNGAATGAATGAATGAATGAATGAACTGCTCGGAAATTGCGGTTGCGTCGAAGTTGCTAGTTTCCATGGTGTGCCCCCGGCCAAACGGTTACCAATCCAAACTCTGAGGCGCTCTGAGGCACTCTGTGACCTCTGTGACTAGCGGTGGCTAGTTGGTAACGTCGGTACAACTTGCGGCAAATTGTGACCGCTAGTGATGTTATTGTTAGAGAAGGTGTTTTAGAACGCGATGCGTTTGCCAACACTTTCTGTTGTTCTTTCGGGAATATTTATTGCATATATTGGATATTCGTTTTGGACATTGGCACAATTGTTCGTGCCTCCTAAATGTCATGTAGGTGAGAAGTGCCTCACATCATTTTTGCACAAGAGGCCTAATTTAGAGGTGAGTTCAGCCGATATAACGTTATCACATCTGGAGGTGAAGGGTGTGATTAATTTCAGATTGCTGAAGTGTGGCTTACCGTGACTGCTATTAGTTGACCCATTAAAGCCATTAAGCAGAGAGATTTGATCACAATACAGGGACGTTAATTTCACCTTTAGGTTTATGTTTTTAGAAAAATTGTCATGTGGCAAAATGTGTCGCCTGTCCATTTTGGGGGGGGGGATAATTAGTAATTAGCCTCATTTTGCGTGATTTCTATGTGTTTATATAATATTGGCACCTTTGTAAAGTACATTGCACATCATATGGAACTATCGACCTGTGTAATAATAGTGAAATTGCTAACATCATGTCTTCAGTTTTTCCTAACTGGAAAACAATTACAGCAGTACTTATCCCACAGAATCAAATCATCATCCACTAGCAGTAACCAAATTAAAATGGCTTTGAAAAATGCCTTTTTAACTCCTATTCTGATGATGAACTTGTATTACAAAGAAATGATAGCAGGCTGTAACCCTCTATTTGATTATAAATTTTGTTATAGTTCAGTGATGTAATCACCCCCTCTGTTGTTAATCTTAATATAAATGGTAATGCTGATTTTTTCTGTTTATCCTTAACATCAATATTATATTGATGTGCCATATACAACAAAAATAATAGTATGGAATATTTTAAATAGTAGAATTCTGTAGAACAGAGCATTAATATAGTAGTGCAAAATTTCCAATATCTGACGGTAGGAAATAACAGAACACCTTCGAACTATCGTGACAAGTACACTTATGTTGTTTTGGCCCAAAAATATATCTGCTGGGAATGTCTTACCAAAACCTTGCACCTTGGGGTTTCCACTTCTTTGGGTTACTGAAGAAGGACTTGAAAGGGAAGTACCTCTGTCTTAATGATAAAACAGGAACCAAGGTGCAGAACTGAAAGTGGACTAATTTATTGGAGATACCATGTTGAGTCTGAAGGTTTGTGATGGTGGTATATCATGTGACCCATATGAACTGTATCTTTCAACAAAATAGAAACCTATTCAGTTGAGTCTACTACTTGAGATGTATCTGATGTCTGTTTCCAGATATGTTCAGTTGTATATATGTATGTGTTGGTGTAACCATGTTATTACATTCGTTTCATTCCAGAGAAATTGTGTCACTCCTTTGTCCACTGAAACTGGTTATTATTTAGTCACTACATCCATAATGTCATCTCATTCCCACCACCTTCACAGTCTTTCTGGATATTTGCATAATAGTACCTGATTATCTTTTTTCACTTGCTGAAACTTTTCTTCGTTACAGAGAAACCGTGCATATGAAATCTTGAATCAGACATTATAGTTTTTAGCAATCCTTTTACCTTAAGTAAAATATTTTCAGTGGTGTTCAGTTCTGGATGGTAAGATACAAAACATTATGGTTAATAAAATATTCATTAGCAGAGTAGTTTTAAAATCTTGGCTTATGCAGCTTTGTAAGTGTATATAACATTGATTTAAGCTCGTCATATTGAAAAGGTATACATGTATCTGCTGTCCATTCTGTCATTTGTTTTCCTACCTTTGGTGGAGTTAGAGAGGGAGTTTTCTCAGCAGAACACTCAAAAACAATTATTTCAGACTCAGATTTGGGATTGATTTCAGTTTCTCATAATTATTCTTGTTTATTTAATTTTGATAATTTTCTGTAGCTTGTAGATTTCCATTTAGGCAGAGCACTGTCTGTCTGTAAACTAGGACCCCATGCTATGTGAAGGTATGGCCTGTCAAAATGACACATATATCTGCTTCCTACACTTTAATGATTAATGCCTGACACATATGAATTCATTTCCGTTGTATAACTTTAACTTGAACTTTAATTTCTTGTTCCATCACATCCATATGAGGCCGAAGCCTAGGTACAGAATTGTGTCAAATTATCGTACTAATACAATCAAGTAATTGTCTAATAAAATCTATGTATAATTTATAACAAAAATTGTTTAC